ATGGTTATAGCTGCTCTACCAGGTCATCGCGTTTCCTCTGCACATGTATCCAGGTGTTTATGAGTCAATCACTGGAGTTCAGCCACTCGTAGAAAAGTGACTGGACAAGACTGGAGTTTGACCCTCCAGGTTCGGAATTTCCGAGTAACCTAACCTCTAATCCAAATCTAAAATCTTATCTATCAGCGTCCGAAGGCGTTTCTAGGAATATACATCTCATCCTGAACGGCCACGGTCAGTTGGTGTCCTTTCCTTGTAAGTCAGGGCGACTGACAATACCGGTGGAGCCATGACATGCCCTTGACAGCGACGGCGTGGTCAAAGCGTCGACCAACAATGAACGACTTTATCATAAAAGCCCTTGATAGGCCCAAGAAAACACACTCAGCTTGAGTTGATCAAGGGCAAAAACAAGACGGTAGCCGGTTTGAGAACCTTCAAATCTCTCATTCTACTGAAAAAGACCCTTTGAGAGGACGTTAGTCATTCCATTCATGCTACCAACGTGAAATGTTCCTTTGAATTCCCCTGCTCCCGGTTGGCCATTACAGTGTCGTTTGGTGATGCCAGGCGTAAAACCCAGCCCAAATGAATTGCCCCAACGTCCGTAGCCATCAAGGCTGTTCCAGCTTGACTTGTGGACTTGTGGACTCCCTCTAATTGTCCTTCTTCTTTTTCTTTCTTTGGTGCTACCACGAAGGGAAAGCTTGCCACCCTCCTATCTCGTCATACACTACCAGCAGTCTACTACAATCCTATCGCGCCATACTCTCTACCAGCAGCCTATTACCTCCTACCTCCCCATACTCTACCAGCTGTGTGTAATCTCCTCTCTCGCACGCTAGTAGACGCTGGTGCACGCTGGCAGACGCTAGATCGATACCTATACTTCCTTAGCCTTCGAGACGCTGGAACACGCTGGCAGACGCTGGCAGACGCTAGATCGAAATCTATAACTTTCGTAATCGCTGGTGCTTCCTTACGCTCGAAACGCTGGTAGACCCTGGAGGACGCAGCCGCAAGGTAAGAACGCAGTCTAAGACAGAGCTCAGCGAATTCTTACCACCCGAGTTCGTCGACTGCAGATAAAGCATCGATTCTCCTTGTCGCTCATAGACGTCATGCTGTAATAGCAAGAGTTTGCTACAGGAACCACGATAGTTTCATGGGAAACTGGTTACATTGTTGGCTCCGTAACGGGTTGCTCTTCGTTCTCCATCAGTAGTTCGATTTCCTCGTCAACCTGAAACTTTTACATCTGACTGGATTCAGCACATCTGCAATTATTAAGAAGGCTCGTACCAAGGCAACCTTCCGCAGAAGTTTCGTGTTGAACACGGTCACTTTGACGGGCCTGAAATGAAAGTGATGATAAGAAAAACTTTCCATCAAAAGGCCTCTAGTTCGCATTCATATTGGCTACCGTTCATTCCCAACTTGACAAGAGAGATGTTGGCCTGGAGTCTCGTACGACACCTCTCTCACAACCCCATTACAATTTCCAACACATTCACTTCCTACCCGAAGTTCGCCGGGGGGGAAGAGGGCGGGGAACTCACAAGGCGCCGAGAACGGAAAATTTCAACAATCAAAAAATTGTCTGGGAGCAAATGTGGGCCATCCGCTCCCCTTTCACCATCATGGGTTCTCCTAACGATCGTGAACATTGTACGCCAGCAAGTGGCGTAGTGCACCCAACACAAACGTCGATGTGGTGGGCTAATTGGCGTGCGACTTCGCAACACGGACCTCCCGACCGACACCCTGAAGAAGGCTATATCATTCTCAGGATTACATCACGCGACCCTGGTGAGTTTTTCGTGCTATTTTCGATAAGACATCTTCAGTCAGGAGCTTCAGGTCAATATCTCAAGAAAAAGTTGTCACTCCGCTTTTCCTATTATTCTTAGGATTTTAAAAGACAAATTAGTAACTCACAAATAACTAGCAGGACGATATTCCGGACAGGAAGTGGATTGGCGCATTCTGGACTGAGAAGCTCGGTAGAGCTCATGTCGAGAAGCAGCCAGACGATCTTGCCTCTCTTGTTCTTGCGATATTTGAGCGAGTGTACGTCGCTTGGCCATAAGAAGTGGTCCAGAGCCTTTTCGAACGATCCGCAGACAAAGCGTACCATTGTGCAACAATGAGAATCGAAGAACTGATGCCGCCTTAACTACCACAAGCAACTGTGAAGTACAAATCGCGTCATTTAGCTGAGCTTCTAGAGGAGAGAAGAAAGCAGGAAAGAGGAGGCTTTAGACCTTCTGAGACCGTATATGGTAGGGGTTACCTGTTCACATGTGATTCCCGACATATTCTTCCCATTGCATTCCTTGATGAGATCACCTTCCTGCAGAAGTCGAGCCTGAACTAAATAGCCTTGAAAATTGCTCTGTTAGATTTGCAGGGGCCCCTACCTGTTGTGATTTCCCGTCCACATATGACACGAAGATCCCACTAGTTCGACTGCCGATAATTCGAAATGCTAAGCCACCTGGTTGTGATGTTTCTCGGTGGATTTCCACCTGAAAACTATGTGCATTTTTGGAACAGCTCTGAGAACCTTTAGAGTTCTTTCTATAATGGTTAACGGAGCGTCGCGCCCTGCGTACGCACGTTTTGGCGTGGCCCCAGACTATTCCCTCCAGTCGTTGCCACTATGAAGCAGGCAGCCATTGGTGAAAATAGGCTGGCGCCGCGTCAAATCTATGCACTTAGGGACGCCTCCACATGACGCTCCGACAAGCACTGTACCTCCAGTTCGCAGTGATCATCGTCAGAATGAATTTGCCAATCGATAAGTTGTGACTCGAGAATGTCGTCCTCATTCTCTTCAACATTGCACAGATTGGAATAAGCCGAGAATGGCCGCAAGCGCATTGTCAGCGTCGATGAGCATGGAGTCGTTGGGTCAAACATCCGTTCACAACTTCTCAACAGAACTGGTATTTGAGCGAAATCTGAAATGCATGCTGTTGTTATGCTCTATTGGTTTACTGCCGTTTCTCGGGAGATGGACAAGACAATCGTACATAGTTTGTCGCGCCATCGCGTGCGCCTTATCGGGCGGCCGTGCGCGGCTAATTCCCGATGTGCATCAGATTATCGCATGAAGTAGCAAAATTCATACGAATTTAAACAGAGACAAGACTCCATAGGACCACTGAATTTTTCTTCTCCTCAAAACGCGCAAAATTGAAAGCGTTTTAGGAGGGCAACTCGTCTGACAGACGCGGCCTCGCTCGCCGACCAACGAGGCATATTACGATTGTCTGTCACATATTGCCGTTCGCGATATAAAAGTTTTACAAAAAAAATTGTGCAAGTTTGGGGCGAAACTGCATAGTCTGGGGTTCTAACCCCCTATGTCGAGCTTTCCGAGCTGCACACTGCCAGCTTTCCCACTTGGATCAAATTCATTCACGGTTTTGCAAGGCATGTTTTCTGAGGTTTCACAAAGTAGAAGGCTGAGCTATGCAAAAAACGGAAACGTGTCCAGAATGTCCCCTCTCCCTGCACTTGTTTGGAGCTTGTTGCTTGTTTGAAAGAAGTAAAGCAAGGTCAATACAAAATCAAACCTACTCGAAGTGAAGCCAGAGTGATAGTGTTGGTGGTGATGACAACAGATGTAAGCTTTGCTCAAGTTGACGGCCAGGAGTGCTGAAGTGTTAATTGAGGTCAGCTGAAGGGCATGTGTCAAAGAACAGGGAGAAGTGGTCATATGATCGAAGATAAACGATGCCGCCAGAATTCGCACTTTGAGTTCACACGAGCAATCAGACGAAAGAATAGAAAAAAGAAAATCGTAAGAAGTAAAAGCTACCTTACTCACATTCACATTCGGGGGTGATTCTGTAGGCCCACACTCAGGGTACGCCTTGCCGTTGGGAAAAGTTATACAGAATACGACCTCCTCAAAACCGCTTCCTCCGGTACGACCCCCTCACCATACCCCATCCTAGCTAGAATGTTCCTAAATTTTCCCAACCTCCTACCAATTTTTTTCCGAATTCGGTAGATTTTTTTAGCCTTTCCTTTGGTCGAGCGGTGGAGGCGACTGGGTGAGAAGGGAACAAAAACCTTTTCTCTTCGAGGGCGGCGAACACGGCTCCCTCCACTACCTAATGCGACCCTCTCTGGGGACTGAACCTACATTGGATGGATCTCACTTACGCACTACTCCTAGTTACTACATTAGAAAAGAAGAGAAGCTACAATAGCAGGTCCTGTTCCGCCCATGCGACAATCGTGGACTGTCTCTCAAAAACAAACCATCATAAGCACCTAAGTACAGTTGTATTCGCTGCGGATGCTAGGGTGTGGTGTCACGGGGAGGGAGCTAGATTGAGCGCGGCGCCAGCTTCCAGGCCAACTTCCACCAACTGTTGCCCCTTTCAACAACTCGTGCAGAACAGTTCGCGGAACGCCTGACCAGCCTCTGACACGCCCAAGCGTCCGCAGTGACGAAGACTCTACGCATTCCTCTCGTCTCGTTCTTTCAACAGATCGAAAGGGAGTTCCTCTCGATTCTCGGTAATTCCAGAAAAGTGTTGAAAGTAGACGGATAAAGAGAACTGGAGGCGGGGAGGAACTTCCGGCCACATTTTCTAGGAATTTTCGAATGTGGTGTAATTCGATACATAACACAATATGCAACTTTATATCATCTCAGAATGCATTCACAATTGGATTTTCTAGCCAATACTCAGATAGCCGAAAACTCATCCAGTTACCGGGAAACATGTTCACCTAGCAGTTTTATGAAAGGATTCGGAACTTACAGTTTTATTTTGTTCATTTATTTGCTTTTTGCTTGTTGATTTGTTTATTTATGCGCAAGTAAAAAGCGCCACAACATGCAAGTAGAACACGTGAATTAGTAAATTTCTTCGAAGCAAGCAAAAAACTAAACAAGGAACTGTAATCAGGGCGCGTCGTACAGTGAGGATCCTCAACGAGGAAGGGGCCAGGCTCTTGGAAAATCCGAACGCAGTCCACTAATAATAAAGAAGTCAGACAAAAGAAGATCAAGAGAAATATGTACTCTCGAGAGTAGAGTCTTAGTTGATATCCACAGCCTGTGGAAAGGACAAAACCTTCAAAAATATCAGAGCATCGTCAGTCCGCCGATAGTTTTGCAAAATACGACTCCCCTCCTCCGAACTTTTCCCCTCTCAATACACGCGCTGCACTTCTCATACGTATCTCTCCACCTCTCTAATCTCCCGGAGCGTGCATCTTCTCTGTGTTTTTCTCCGAAAACTCTTAATTCCTCCTCAAAGTCTGCTGCCGAGAGTAAGGGAGAGCGACTTGTAAAGCGCTTGAAACAGGACGAAAGCGAGCAAGCCAACGGCAAAAGAAACTTTTCAAAGACAGGCACAACACCACCCCCTCCCTCCAGTGACGCAATACGAACCCCTTCCCTTGCCGCCAAGGATCGTATTTCCTTGCAACGCGAGTAAGGACTACCGACTTACGATCTGCTGTCTTGGACGAAACCTGCACACCCTTCAAGCTCAGATAGCTTGCACTCTACGAATCTCCAGGGTGCTAGCAATAAATCTCTAGTGGAGTGTCATAGCCAAGTATAGGGAAAAACGGAAGTGCTCGCCATAAAAGAAATGTCGAGAAAAGGATAGAAGCACAAGTTCTGCTATGATTTCCAATAAAGATAGCTGGGGAAAATCAGCTGAATTGCGTCAAAGGATGAACATTTAAAAGGGATGAGGTAAATGAGGTGGAAAATGAAGGGAGCGGAGTTCAGAAAGCTAGAAAAACCCTAGAGATCCCTGCCAAAAAAAATTAGAATGGTTCCATTATTCATTTGAGGCGAGATGTGTCCCCACAACAAAATACTGAATCTTAACGTGAAGTTGTTTTAAGAGCTTAGGAAAACGCCATACTAATGCAATAAGGAGGGTTTTATATTATTTATTTATTTGCTCAATTTATCTCATCTATATTTATTTATTTATTCATTTATTCACGCTTTCGACGATATCCTTATGTGAGGAATGGCATTACTGCTGTCAAAATTGGAAATCTAAATATCCCTCGAGTGATTTTAACGATAGCCAGGGCAAGTAAAAGCTTTGGTACTTGCCTTGGCTATAACTATGACCATTGCCTTCAGGCAATTTTAAGAGATCCCGTTTCAAACAGTGTCTTCTAAATTCTTCGGCCAAATGCCTGAAACCCCATTGTACGCCATGAAAAAGCGAACTCCGCTTGCGACTTAGCTGACTGTCATAAGGGAATGACATGTTTACAGCAATTCTATGACGATAGAGAAGGAATGTCATTGCAGTGGGCATAGCTCGTGGAAACAGTCGATGTTAACGATTTCCCAGACAGTTTTTGTTATTAGGGGAAACGCAGCGAAAAACGTTAGTCTAATCAAGATCGGTTCGTTAGGAAGAGGCGGCGGTGACGTCTCTGTCCTAGTCGCTAGGATGCATCCTTTACACGGGCCAGCTGATCTGCCAGCTCGGTCTCTAGGACGCAGACGCATTTGGCTCAATTGCGCCGTCCCTGGAAGACAGCAGCGCTGGGGGAGGGACTTCAGAGATTGACCCGCTGGATGCGTGCCTGTTACTTGGCCACTTCACCACCTCCTCCGCAGTTGGGCTGTATCGTCAAATCAAGTTTATATCGGGTCAGAACCCGGGTTTTTTTAAGTGGTTCTCCGCGAAGAATCGGAAACTATGAAAGCGCCCTCAAGCCAGCGGGGCTAATGACAGTCTAGATGGTGCAGGTATCAGAAGATAGCGGCCCCGGGAAGAGTAAGGCTCAAGTTCGAGTCCAGGTTGAACCCTTTAACTATCCGTTCCGATTTCCTCATCAATCTGCTTCATTTCTAGACCAACCTTCAAATTAATAAAGTGAATTTAAAAATAAAAACGAACATGAACGGTAGAGCGAATAGGAAGCGCTCAGAGGAATAACATTCAATAAAGTCTGGGCATCTCGTGGATTTTCAGCACTAAGCAAGCACTTTTTTTGTGACACTTGCCAAAACAAGCAGTCACTTCATATTCAGCCAAAGGGTACTTCCGATTCTTATCGTGAACAATAATTTCTACGAGAAAAAGCTTATGACGTCCATGCCACTAGAAGAACGATGTACTAGTTTGAGGACCGAATAAAGAGCAACTTGAGCTTTTATTGTTGGGAAAATCCCCAGCGATAAACGGCTTATTCGCTGCTTTTCCAAAGTAAGGCGCAAAATAACCCACCTAGAGTAGGAAGGAACCTTAAATGTCGGGGCTATATTCTACTCGCTAGAAATCTGGTAGAATGTGGATTGCACAAAGGGAATAAATCGTAAATAATGGGTGGACAGGGAGGAATTGGGAGAATGATTAGTGGTCTGGCGCAGTATGCTCCCCCAAATGTCTCCCTCTTCATGAAGGCGTACTGCTAGCAAGTTTTCTCCTGAAATTGCCACAAAGAGGGCTAAGGGGGTAGAAACGTTGTAAACGTTGTATGCTTATAAACTTATAGGGGGCGCGGGACAAGAAAAGGAACATGGATCGACCCAACGGCTTCGTCCCCTTTCGGAGGATATGAAGCATTGAAGTGTAAAATGTGTTCAATGTGAATGTAGATTGTGTCGCGGCGAGAAGGGGCGTAGCTATCTGGGGGCGGGGCATGTAATGGGGTCCACTGCGTGCAATATATACTCGAAATCCCTAAGATCGGGTAGGCGTGGCTGCGTACTTGATTTTAAAATGGCGGCGGCCAGGTTTTCGTGAGATATTGTCATTTTGGAGCAGTCGTAATCAAGTCTACATGGGACAAGATAGCAGTTGCTTCGAATTTGAAAGTTGAAGTATCTTACGAGAATCCCGTCCTATGCCATGCTCGAAAGCCACGCCCACTCCGTCTCAGGAATAAGGAGTATATGTGCGGTGGGCGCT